GTTTTGGCTTTATTGCTGCTCTAAGTGAATTCTTCTTTAAGCAAATTTCATGTTTTAGAGTCACTTAAGAGTTAATCAAATACTAAATTTATTGACAATGACTTCATCAAGTGATTATCACATTTTATGTTACCTGCTGTGAATGCAGTCAATAGATTATCTCGGATTAAAAGCATAATTGTATTACGAAGGGTACTGCTAGAGAAAGACATTTATTAAGGCATTTTGTTTTGAACCAGCTGCTCCAGTAAGGAAGGAGGAGATGCTAATCCTGGTTTTATATATATATATATATATATATATATATATATATATATATATATATATATATATATATATATATATATATATACATATATATATATATATATATATATATATATATACAGGGCTCGATGTTAACCATCGCCCGATCTCCCGGGGCAAGTAGTTTTTATTGTTGGGAGAGTACAAATTTCATTGTATTTGCCCGCCGGCAAGTGCAATGATCGCAAAAAAAAAAAAGTTATGTATCACTCAAAATTACTTTAAAATCACAGACATTCGATGAAAACGACCCAGAAACGTTGCTGGTGCCAATTTTTTTGTTTTGTACACATTCTCGCGTGATTTGCAAAAGCCGGGTGATTTTCCGCCAGATGGCGGGATTTTTGTCCACCTAGCGGTAATTTTGATGTAGTTACCAAAATGACAAACAAGCTAGAAAATGCTATTGCACCGGTTTTTCTGTATCATTTTATTTGCATAATCACTCAAAAATCACCTACACTCAAAGAAAACAACCCAAAAGCGTTGTCGATGCCATTTTTGTTGTATGTATCTGTGTATATATATATATATATATATATATATATATATATATATATATATATATATATATATTATATATATCTGGCATCCTTTATCAGGAGATATTATTGCTGCAGACAGTTGAATGTATAACATTTTACTGCTCCATTAAAGCAGTCAGGTTTAAGGGGTTTTAATGCTGCACTTTTCTGTTCTGTTGTGTGGAAGCTTAACTCATTATTTCAAAAAAAAAAACAGAAAAAAAAACGAAAGGCTAATTAAATCGCGCATCTTTTATTCATTATCCACTTTTTCCCCCACAGATTAATGTCCACATTTTTCTCTTTGTTTAGGTTCAAGTAGCCGATTTGCTCTCTAAGGTCTTTGGTTTACTCATCAAGCACAAGGTAATTTATGTTTCCTTTGTGATCTCAACTTTTAAACTCTCCAGTTTAAAGTTTCTGATTCTGATAAATTTGAAATCATCTTTTTAAATTTCAAACAACGTCTTTAAGAGCAAGTCTTTATCTAAATATTGTTTAATAATGCTGCAATAAAATGAGCTGTCAATGTGAGGATTTTCATTAGAGCCTTTTTTTTTGGCCATCATGTGAGACCTACATAAGAGATCAAATCAGCTCAATTTTCTCAATGCTGTATTTAAAAACTCTGATCTTTTTACAGATTTTAATTTTCTTGTTTTCTATAAATTCAGACATTGACAAAACCTCTTTTCTTATCTGTTAAAATTATCTTTAAAACTGTTGGATTTAAATCGGATGGGTTGGGTATCCATTTACAAGCTTCTCACAGTGTTTTTTCCCCCTTATTATTTTAGTATTCAGTAAAAAGAAATAATGATAATCCTGAGCAAAAATCAAAACATTTTGGTCCAGTTAAATTATACAAGGAAATGTATATCAAATACTTTATATGATAAAAAAAGATAGTCTCTTTTAGTATAGTGTATATATTTGGTTTTAACTACAGATTAATAAGCTCAAACTAAACAAGAAACAGATCTAAGCTTATATAAGGTAATATCAGTACAATTAGTTGATTTCAATAATCAATTAATCGCGATTAATCCGATTATTTCAGCTCTAGTATTTATGCAGTAAAATTGAAGATTTATCAGGCCTCTGATTCCCTCTCTGTTCCTCTGCATTTGGCCTTTTAATTGATGCAGTCCCTGGCTGTATAACATTAATCATTGGTTGTGTTTTCAGGTGAAGCTGGAGAGTAACTTCGCCTCCATTGTGTTTGCCATCATGGTTCTTGAGGGTCTGGGAAGGTCACTGGATCCCAACCTGGACATCCTGGATTTGGCCAAACCGCTGCTGCTGAAGAACTGTGCATCTCTCCTCTGATGCAAAAGGCCCAACAGGTGGCACACAGGCAGGTAGCTGTGCTGTAATGGGTGAATTTAAAGGTTTCTACAGTACAGGTGTACATCTCATACTGTTCTCTTCAGAATTGCAATGCAATGTTCCATTGTAGATCATAAGATCCTCCTCCTCTACATTATGGCATATCAAATACCTCATGTCGCCTTTATTTTAGCAGCCATTTCATGTCACTGACTTTTCTTAATGTTTCTGATGCCTGAATTAATTGTGAATCTTTTATACATAGACAGACTTTTAAAGCACACTCATTGAAGCCTGATTAGAGTTGAAGCATTTTTTAATGACTAATCAATGAGTAATCAGAGGGCATATAAGGAACTATTTAAGGTAGAATAATAGAATGCTAATAGGAACCCCAGCTTAGTAACCTGGTAGTAAAGTACTGCCTTGATTAAAATATTCATATCCTTCCAACTTTTCTCAACTGTCCATATTTACAGTTACAAAGTTTTAGAGATTTTATGCTTTTTATAAGAGAAACTGAGACAAATTTGTAAAGAGAAACTTGACCTGAAAGGTAGAAATTACTTTTGTTTTCTTTAAAATGGCAATATGGTGTGCATTGATGTTCAATGCTAAATTTTATACAAACTTTTTAACATGTTGAAAATTGGAATGCTTGCATATTCTGCTATAAAATTTAGCCGAAACTCTGTTAAATCAGGCAGACTGTGTCTGTGAAGTCCATGAACTTTGACTAGGCCATTCTAATCCCTGAATTTTTAATCCTGGCTGTTGTTCTGCCATTGGCTAAACCTAAACCCACATCTCAAGTCAATTGCAGCATTTTATGTTTTTTCTGGAACTTCCCAGGGGGTTGCTTCAAATATCCTTTCCCTATCTCCCGTTTCCCCATCTCTGCTAAAGTAAAGAATCCCAATAGAGTGAAACTCACCCTACTGTTTTAAGTTTACATTTTTCCATTGTTTAAAAAAAAATAAACGTACAACTTTCCTTTTATTTCTTCATGAATGTTATCCGTGTTCGTTTGTAGTGGTTATAGTGTCACTAGTTCAAGGGGTATGAATACTTTTTCAAGGTCTTGTACAGATGTGGAGACATTTTATTCCTGCAATGTTTCTTTTGTGTTTTATGAGCTGTTTTTAGAGTGAATCACAGTACTGTACCATGTTCGTTGTAACACACTACACTGAATGAGCTATGACTTAATGTACTAAGATTTTTTTGTATTTTAATTGTTCAGTGCTCACACCATTAAAATGAAATCCAGCCCGACTTCAGTTCTTCTCCTGCTTTGCCTGTAATGTCTCCAAATGTGACGATAAACTCCAACAAATGACTACATTGAAGAAAACAGAATCCATTAATCTACAATTTATTAAATCTGTCAATGAAAAACAGACAAAACTTCGATCTTATCAGGAAGAACAGTCAGCATGGCTGAGTGACGGAGATCAGGAGGATTTGGTGAAAAATTGGAAAAGAAGGGAGGGGGGGATAACTCAAATACCCTTTATTGCAAAACAGTTTTTCTTTTTTGTCACCATCAACAGCCCATAGAGGGCAGCACTGTTTAAGAAGGGAGGGGAGAGGTGTTTTGTTTTTCTTAAAAAAAAACGTTCAATAATATTAATAATGACAAAACAAGTAAAAACATCTCTAATAGACAAACACAATCACCTCAGTAGAAGATAAATTTCTGTCACGGTCACAACAACCACAGAGAGAAGTTGTTTGCTTTCCCCCCTATATTTTTAATGAATTAAATAGTTTTTAAAAATATCTCACCATTTAATTATAATTATCTTTTTTAATTATTTATTGCGAAAAATAGGCAACTGGATTAATTGTGATGATTCAGATTTCAGGTGTGTGATTTAGTGGACAGAGACTGAGAAAGTTGGTTTGTTGGCACTGAGAGCAGCAGCTTCATGTGGCGATGCAATATTCCCAAACTGCCACCTGGTGGCAGCACCAGTCAGTTTGAGCCTCCCTCCAAGTTTGATCAGAAATCAGAACGTCCCATTCCTGTTCTGTCAGAGGGGAAACCAAGTACTGCCAACAGCAACCAGTTTTTTTTTTACTTTTTACACTTTTTGGAATGATACTCGGGGTGTTTGTCCACAAATGTGTCCACAGTCGCTTATTTGTGTTGCGAAATCTAGTTCTATGTACAAAGGTTTCAAATCCCTGAAAGACATTTACAAAGACAAGTGCAACCTTCCACATGGCCGCCTCCTTTTTGGAGAGGCTCTGGGATAGATGGGGTTCCTCCTGGGGGCAAAAAAGACGGTTGGGTGGTGGGGGAGTAGTACCAATCGGATCCAGTAAACATACAACAGAAGGGAGTGAAGATAACTGTTCTTAGGAATGGAGTCAGAAAGGTTTGGGGATTTGGTCATGTCAAAAACTGAAAAGTGCCAAGGGTGGTGGGTCACCAACATTTCCTAATACCATTCCCATACGTGAAAGATGAACTGTCACCAACAATTATTGTTGGTTTCTCATATTCCTTCATGTCGATCCAGCAGTGTCACCATGCATCTTCGAATTAAAGTCTATTAACACCAAGCAGATATTTCTCGAAGTTAATACTGATTGTTTTGATTCCAAACCTTCTCTGTACCCATCAATGTGATGCCCCCTTCCGCAAGGTCGGTTCAGGACCGTAGAGCATGATAGGAAGCAATGGAGGCTGTGAGAAGCTTTTTTTTAAGGACTGGATTCATGTAAGAAAGCTGTAAACTGTAAAGTCTGATGTTGGTACTTCTTTAAGGAGGTTATATAGGGCACATAGGCACAAACGCTCATTTTCTCGCATAATAGCACACACAATTGGTAATGCAAGAGGGAACTCTGGGCCATCTGACAGCAGTACAAGAGTCTCTTGCCAACTCTGTTTACTCTGAAAGTCAGCAGCTTTCATTTGTTAAGAAAAATGAGAAGAAAACGGATGAAGAAGAGGGTGACGTCTTGATGGCGGAGGAGGCAATAACACCATGTTTTGTTCTGACTTCTCGTTTCAGGAAAATCCTTTCCAACATCAATAAATTCCTTTTTTTGTAGTCCTTGCCAGCGTTTTGTGTTTTCGTTTTTTTACATTCCCCATGGTAGAGTACATGTAGAAGTAAAGCCTGATCAGGTGGGTATGGAATGAATGCGTTAGAAGCCTCTCTCTGTACGATGCTTGTTGCTCGCTGCCAACAGAGGTCGTTGTTTGAGATTAAAGTCTAGAAGGTGGATGGGGAAGGAAGGAGAGGGGGTGATGGAAGTTTGTGGCTATGAGCTGAGCCAGGGGTGGTTTAGGCATTCCCCAGCCGAGGCCCTCTTCTCAGGCACCATCTCAAGCATGGGCAGCAGGAACTGGGTGAATTGTCCGGCATCTTCGTGTGACCAGCCGTACTTTTCAACCAAGACATCGAACAGAGACCAGGGCTTCAGCTTGGTGATGTGCCGCAGCTCACCTGCAAGAAGGCAAACGGAGAACAGTCAGTGTTGGCATTCAGAGGGATGACTACAGAAGAACATAAGAATAATCCATCAACTTTAGTTTTATATATATATATATATATATATATATATATATATATATATATATATATATATATATATATATATATATTGGGGTGGAACGGTTCACAAAATACACGATTCAGTTCGGTTCACGGTTTTCAGTTCGGTTCGGTATATGTTGATTGTTACACCGAAATCCCATAAAAATTAATGAAAAATAAGAAAAAAATTAATAAATTGTAATTATTTTTAATGATCCGCGAAAACCCATTTGCTGCTTAGAATTTAATCATCTCATGCATGCCCTCTACGATCTCCAAGGAACTCAGAGCGGAGCGGACGGGAGCCACAGCGGAGGCTGTAGGCTTTGCTTTGTGTAGGCGGTCTGGTGCGCAGCGGGGCGGAGCGGAGCGCTGACGGAGTATGTGGGATTTCGGGGTTAGCCTGACATGTTGGTCATTTTGCTGTTAGCATAAACAAAACGTGTTGCACAATGCTTGCACACTGTTGCAATTTTATCCACAACTGTCTTTCCGCCGCCATCGTAGGTCACTCTAAATGCAAAGTGGTCCCAAACAACAGAAATATAAAGTGATGCTGGCGCGTCTGCCAACTCCTGTTCTTTCTCACTCGCCACACACAATTCTCCACAACAACTGATTTTTTTCTGCTACACCCGGCTACGCTGCTTCGCTTCTTCCTCTTCTTCTTGTTTACTGCTGGTGGTTGGCTTTGGTCGCAGTACCGCCACCTTCTGCTCTGGAGTGTACACGCTTCGCCTATAAGAAAAAGGAGCAGCCCATGAACCGAACACAACACACACGAACCGAACCGAGACAGTCGAACCGAACGGTTCGGACGGTTTTCATAAACCGTTCCATCCCTAATATAAATATATATATATACACTGCTCATAAAAATAAAGGGAACCCTCAAATAAAACATCATAGATCTGAATGAAATATTCTCATTGAATACTTTGTTCTGTACAAGGATGAATGTGCTGACAACTCACACAAAAATCATCAATGGAAATCTATTTACTAATGGGGATTCACACACAAACTTAAAGAGGAAAAACACTCTACAGGCTGATCCAACTTTGATGTAATGTCCTTAAAAGAGGTCAAAATAAGGCTCAGTATTGTGTAGGCCTCCCTACAATGCCTGGGTATCCTCCTGGGGAGGTGGTGGATCTCCTCGCAGACCTGGATTTTAAATATCCAACAACTTCTTTACAGTCTGTGGTGCAACGTGACATTGGTGGCTGGATCAAGACATGATGTCCCAGATGTGCTAAATCTGATTCAGGTGGGGAACCAGTGGGCTAGTCTGTAACTTCAATTCCTTCATCTCGCAGGAACTGCTGACACACTCCAGCCACATGAGGTCTAGCATTGTCCTGCATAAGGAGGAACCCAGGGCCAACTGCACCAGCATATGGTCTCACAAGGGTTCTGAGGATTTCATCTCGGTACAAAATGTCGGTCATGGTGTTTGGCGAGCAAAGGGAGGGACTGCATGGTCCTCCAGAGACCTACTACACACCATTACTGACCCCATGTGAAACCGATCATGCTGATGGCAGCAGATCACTCTCCACAGTGTCTCTAGACTTTTTCATTTCTGTCAAATGTGCTCAGTATGAACCTCCTTTTATCTGTGAATAGCACAGGGCACAAGTGGGGAATTTTTGTTCTCTGGCAAATGCCAAGCATACTGCAGGGTGTTGGGCAGGTAGCACAACTCCTATCTGTGGACGTCAGGCCCTCATACCATCCTCATGGAGTCGGTTTCTAACCGTTTCTGCAGACCAATGCACATTAATGGTCTGCCGGAGGTCATTTTGCAGGGCCCTGGCAGTGCTCCTCCTGTTCCTCCTTGCTCCAAGGCAGAGATCCTGCTACTGGCTTGTTGCCCTCCTACGGCCTCCTCCACTTCTCCTAGCCTGTCTCCTGGTAGTGCCTCCAGTCCGCATTGATGTGCCATTCTGGATTAGCTGCACTACCTGAGCCATTTGTGTGGGTTGTAGAATCAGTCTCATGCCACCATGAGTGTAAAAGTACCAGCAACATTCAAAAGTGACCAAAACATCAGCAGAAAGCATAGGAACTAAGAAGTGGTCTGTTGTCCAAACCTGCATAACTACTCCTTTATAGAGTGTTACTTGCTAACTGCCATTCATTTCTAACTGTTGTCTTTTTCATTTGCACAACAGCATGTGAAATTGATTTTCAACCAGTGTTTCTTCCAAAGTGGACAGTTTGATTTCACAAAAGTTAGATTAGTTTGAAGGTATATTGTGTGTCAACCTTATATTTTTTATGTTGCTGTATATATATATATACAGTGGGGCAAAAAAGTATTTAGTCAGCCACCAATAGTGCAAGTTCTCCCACTTAAAAAGATGAGAGAGGCCGGTAATTTTCATCATAGATATACCTCAACTATGAGAGACAAAATGAGAAAAAAAATCCAGAAAATCACAGTCTGATTTTTAAAGAATTTATTTTCAAAATATGGTGGAAAATAAGTATTTGGTCAATAACAAAAGTTCATCTCAATACTTTTATATACCCTTTGTTGGCAATGACAGAGATCAAATGTTTTCTGTAAGTCTTCACAAGGTTTTCACACACTGTTGCTGGTATTTTGGCCCATTCCTCCATGCAGATCTCTTCTAGAGCAGTGATGTTCTGGGGCTGTCGCTGGGCAACACGGACTTTCAACTCCCTCCAAAGATTTTCTATGGGGTTGAGATCTGGAGACTGGCTAGGCCACTCCAGGACCTTGAAATGCTTCTTACGAAGCCACTCCTTCGTTACCCGGGCGGTGTGTTTGGGATCATTGTCATGCTGAAAGACCCAGCCACGTTTCATCTTCAATGCCCTTGCTGATGGAAAGAGGTTTTCACTCAAAATTTGACGATACATGGCCCCATTCATTCTTTCCTTCACACGGATCAGTCGTCCTGGTCCCTTAGCAGAAAAACAGCCCCAAAGCATGATGTTTCCACCCCCATGCTTCACTGTAGGTATGGTGTTCTTTGGATGCAACTCAGCATTCTCTCTCCTCCAAACACGACGAGTAGAGTTTTTACCAAAAAGTTCTATTTTGGTTTCATCTGACCATATGATATTCTCCCAGTCATCGTCTGGATCATCCAAATGCTCTCTAGCAAACTTGAGACGGGCCTTGACATGTACTGGCTTAAGCAGGGGGACACGTCTGGCACTGCAGGATTTGAGTCCCTGGCGGCGTAGTGTGTTACTGATGGTAGCCTTTGTTACTTTGGTCCCAGCTCTCTGCAGGTCATTCACTAGGTCCCCCCATGTGGTTCTGGGATTTTTACTCACCGTTCTTGTGATCATTTTGACCCCACGGGGTGAGATCTTGCATGGAGCCCCAGATCGAGGAAGATTATCAGTGGTCTTGTATGTTTTCCATTTTATAATAATTGATCCCACAGTTGATTTCTTCACACCAAGCTGTTTACCTATTGCAGATTCAGACTTCCCAGCCTGGTGCAGGTCTATAATTTTGTTTCGGGTGTCCTTTGACAGCTCTCTAGTTTTGGCCATGGTGGAGTTTAGAGTGTGACTGTTTGTGGTTGTGGACAGGTGTCTTTTATACTGATAACGGGTTCAAACAGGTGCCATTAATGAAGGTAACGAGTGGAGGACAGAGGAGCCTCTTACAGAAGAAGTCACAGGTCTGTAAGAGCCAGAAATCTTGCTTGTTTGTAACTGACCAAATACTTATTTTCCACCATATTTTGCAAATAAATTCTTTAAAAATCAGACAATGTGATTTTCTGGATTTTTTTTTCTCATTTTGTCTCTCATAGTTGAGGTATATCTATGATGAAAATTACCGGCCTCTCTCATCTTTTTAAGTGGGAGAACTTGCACTATTGGTGGCTGACTAAATACTTTTTTGTCCCACTGTATATATATATATATATATATATACATACATATATATGTATATATATATACATACATATATATGTATATATATATACATACATATATATGTATATATATTTTTTTTTTTGTATAAATATGTAATAAAAAAATAGGCTACTGGATTAATCTTGCAGATTAAAAACCTTTTAATGAGATGTCAGAGAAAGTGGTAGCATTTCCACCACCTTTAATTCCGTAGGGTTACACAGCGCTGCCCACTCACCCATCTTTTACTGCACACTGCCGGTCAGCTGGCTGAATAAAAGCTCCTACACTTTTCTCTTGTTTCAAAGAAAAAAATTGGTATTTTGGAAAGCCCGGTTGCTCATACTAAAAGAGCACTGGTAGATAAGTTAAGACCATCATATTGCCAGCTGCTATATTAAGTAATTATTGTTCAGAATCTTTGTGTCCCTACAAACCTGAACCTAAGAAGCTCATACTGACCCATGCCCACTCACTGGGCATGGGTCAGTATGGGCCAGGAACGCAGGAGTCAAAAATTCCTACTTGTATCAAGATTTTTAGTTTTGTGGTTGGCATAAAATAAACAAGGTGTTAGACGGTAGATCATGATGCTGAGGAGGCAGTTTATCCATCTGTACCAAGAACATGTCTAAAAGCAGCAATTCACTAGCCTGACGTAGTCCGACTCAATTCTAGTCAGAATATGAGTCTGATACTGCTCCATAGAGCTGTGATTATGGGGCGTGTTTCGAACGAACCAGGAAAAAAAATGCCTCTGCACTCAATTGGATAGATCTACAACCAATAAGAGCAACGGAGTGCGTGACGCATGTTAAGCGAGGCATAGTTGTTGTCCACAAAAATCAAAGCGTGCAGTTTCACGCCTAGAATAAGAAGATGAGACTTGATCGCGTTTCTGTTCCTCTTTTAAAATTAATTTGCTGTCGATATCTTCTAGAACAGACCTAATCTACTCACCTCAACTCTCCAGCGGCAGCCATTATTGTTGTCACCCAAGCACGCTTTGGTCACGTGGTTGATTACGTTACTCTTGATCATCTGTCCATCATCGTATAAAGCCCGCCCTGACAATTTGATTGGATCGCCTGACAGTGGGCGATAATACTCGCGCTACTATGGAGCAGAGCCAGACCGAACTTCCCCGAACTCAAACCTTGTGGGCGGGACTAAGTTCGGACTGGCACCCAGGCTAGCAATTCACCAGCTTTCAGGGGGTTTTAACACTCAAGACGTCCATGAAGAAGGAGTTTAGCTTAACTTAAAAACCCAAATGCTTTCACGGTGACTGAGTAAACAGCACTGGAAACACAGTATATAAAAACAATCTTTACACTATAAATCAGCATGAACTTTGCTGATTTCAAAAATCCCTGCTTATATCAGATATTGAATAATAATGACATGAATCTCTAGAAAAAAGTGTTTCCTTCATACAGCTTTGCTGCTTTCTTAAAAACGTTTTGTGGTAAACAGGAAGCAGAGGTGGGTAGTAACTAGTTACATTTACTAAAGTAATTTACTTTTAGGACTAATTTTACAACAACCTACTTTCTACTTTCATCCACGTGATATTTTCATTTCAAGTATCATTATTCTTGAATAATTTGTTCTTAGCTACTCAACCTACCATGAAAAAACAAATTTTAATCTAAAATGCACCAAAAAAAAATTTTCTACACAAGCTTGTTTTACAATCCTACTTCTATCTGCTTTGACTTAAGGAGGTCAAATTAATGTATACAGTATTGGTTTAGTAGGTTTTATTTTGTAAAAGTTACATTTGAAGTGTGAAGAGTTTATTTTCCAATTCATTCTACACTCGTGCTAATAATTTTATCTATAAATTTAAAACTTTTGATTTTGATCTATTTACATAATTTTATAAAGTCAGTCAAACAACCTAAATACTGTAGTTACCCTGTAATTAAGTAGCCTTCCCACCAATTATCTTTTTTACCTTGAGCAATTTTTTGAAAGGATACTTTTTTTTTTACTTGAATAAAAATATGTAAAATTATTTAGTAACACTTCCTTTTACATTACAGAAATCACGATGTAATTACATGGTAATAAGATAGCAAGTCAGACTATATTAATTGGTAAAAAGAAAAACTTTATTTGGTAATTACCCCCAAAATCAAGCTATACATGCAGGTAATTACCTGCTTTATTACAACTGTATGTTACTATGTAACAATGGAGACTTTTGGTGGGTAATTACCATTAGGTTACTGCATAAATGTTTCCAGAATTGGCCACCACATACTTACAGCTTACGTAAATTGTAACTTGTGATCAGGTTAATAAAGCATTATAAATCAGAACACAAGTTACATATAAATAAGAGTTTAGTAAAGGGGTATGGTTTTCTGTTATAAAGTAGCAGCCATTTAAAATGGCCCTTCCTGGTGAAACGGCAGCCGAATGGCAGCCCATTTCCCTGCGACTCCCAGCAAAATCCCATCCAACTTCCAGCCACTGGCCTTCTCCTTAGCGTGGATTTTCTTTAACTCTGACTCCACCCTTTCACTGAATTACACAGTCTGACCAGGAGAAGACGCTCCTCTTTAGAGCTTAATGTCCACAAATCATGACTATTTTTGTACAAAGATTGATGGTTTAAAAGGCATTGTAGGGGATCAGCCAAGGACCCATCAAGGAAAGTGGGAAAATTGTGAATGGCTGCTACTGTATGCCAATTAATAAACTGCTTTTTACTAGATAATAACACATTAATTTATTGCTGTCGGTGAAATGACTGAGTTACATGGTAATAACAGTTTGACAACTAAGAAGTCTGACTTTATCTTGTCTGCCCAAAATTTGAAGAAAAGCACTTACCAAAATTTTCAGTAAAGTGTTTTTTGTTAACTAGTAAAGTGTAACTCCCCATGTTATTACCATGTTCTCACATGGTTATTAATTATTTCTGCTGTTACTCAAGTCTAATTTTGAGTAATCTACCCACCTCTGATGAGAACTTGTGTGGCTCAGGTAAGTGATGCATTCACTGAACTAAAACAAATTGGATGTTAGGGTGTCTCTCTCATCATTTAGTTTTTTTACTTCACCTTGGCATTTATAACAATTTATATAAAAGAACTAAAGTTATCTTCTTTCCTTTGTCTAAGATTTAGGGAGACCGTTTTCGGTCCAGTTCACTGTAGTAAACCGACTGGATGTAATTATTTAACAGTCCAAATAACCAGCAGCTGATTTCACTGATGACTTCACTTCTTTCTATTTGAGGGACTGCTAATCTGTGAGGTGCTGTAGCATCGTGGAAGCCAGCAGAGTCTTGGCTGAAAACCACACCGACAGAAGGCAGATGGACAGGAATAGACACACACACGTGTGACCAGAGAATAAGACATAATTATTGTATTCATTAGTCAGAAAAATGGCGGAAATAGCTGGCTGGGAATACAACTCTGATAGGGAAGAAAGACAGTTAATGATGGGGCACAACAATGAGGTCCGGGCTAAGCCTCAGCTTCCATGGTAAACATGTTTTTCCTCATCACAAGAATACAATCTATTTATCAAACACACTGGAAAGAATTTGAGAGAGAAACCCCTTTATAGGCAATTTTAGCTTATATAGAAGTTTCTTAATCTTGCATATGTCTTCAAGCAGTGTTTTCCTAAGAGTTCAATAAAAATCATTATGTACGAAGGGAACCAGGTGACACGGCCTGCCAGAGGCTTTCTGGCTGGCAGGAAAAGCTCCAACCCCTCAAGAGGCAGAAGGGGAAAGTCAGCTCAGATTAACAGAGCGCAGAGAGATAAAAGAGAGGAACATTGAGACATGGAGAGCATGCTCAGACCACGGATAGAGACATCTTCAAAGCCAGAAGATTCAGATCTCACCATCATGAAGGATTTATGAGCAGAAAGAGAGGCAAAAAAAGGGAATCTTTAAAAGTGGAAAAAAGAAGGACAGAGCAGAGAGATTATTAGCTGTATCAGTCACAGGTCCATCCATGCTAATGGATGCTGGTGCTTTTTATAAATCAAATTCACACCAAATAAGTGAATTACTGATGCTGACTTTCACATGAAATAAAAAGTTATCTTGTCATTATCTTGTTGTGTTAAATTGATATTATGTTAAAAATCTCTGATATTAGAAAAACTAATAGAAACACTTTGCTTCCATTTGCTTTTGTTAAAAGTTTGTGTAACTCTTTAAGGAATAAGAAATTCAGTTGTTCTCATACCTAATGCTGTAGAATAATGTTCTTTGTTTGAGAAATATCACTTGATCAAGCCTTTTCTATCATTCCAAACTAAGTAATAAAAGTGTTTATGATTCATGCTGATATCAAATCAGGTCAATATTGGTATTAATCAATACTTAAAGCTGCAATATGGGAATTGTATAGGAAATTTATAAAATGTATCAGACCTTAATTATAAGGGTTGCAAACACTTTTTTGCAGTTATTTATAGAAAAAAACTTTTAATCTTTTTAGTTTCTAACAAATATACAGTATTTTCCGGACTATAAGCTGCTGCTTTTTTCCCTTACATTGAACCATACGGTTAATAATAAGGTGCGGCTTTTCTGTGGATTTTTCCTAACTACCAGAAGGGGAAGTCAAAATTGGAATAAACCGCTAATTTTTATTTAGCACAAGAACTTGCTAGCAGCAGGCAAGATGGCGAATAAATGTCCCGAATTCACACATTTTAACATTTATTTGCTGCATTAAAGCTGTCAAACCAATGAAGAGACTGGGCTCAACCCATGCAGAGCTGAAATAAAGAGCTGACAAAGCCCAATTTTTTTGTACAAGCTATTATTACTGTGAGCCAACAAGCTAACGGGGGCTAGCATACTTCTTTGTCATTACTCCAGGGGCTATATGTAGAGCTCCCCCTACAGGTTTGGAGGGAGACAGTTCAGTAGATATCAACAGCTGATAGCCCATTGTGGCTTATATGCAAGTTTAAATTTTTTTCAAAAAACGTATTGGGCGTGGCTTATAGTGAGGTGTGCTCTATAGCAGGCATCCCCAACCTCTGTCCTCGAGGCCCGCTGTCCTGCAGGTTTTAGAGGTTTCCCTGCTTTAGCACAGCTGATTATAATGATTGCAGTAGAACCACAGCCTGTTAATCAGCTTTCAATTAAAATCAGCTGTGCTGGAGCAGAGAAACATCTAAACCCTGCAGGACAGCGGGCCTTGAGGACTGAGGTTGGGGATGCCTGCTCTATAGTACGGAAAATACGGTAGTCAATGTAAAGGCCTAATTTTTTTTTAATGTAAGTATAAGATTATGCTGCTACAGTAAGAGCTACATTGACTGATGCCAAGTAGCCTGTTTTTCACTTTAAAGCTGAAAGTGAAATGTGACTGAACTAAAACTCACATTTTTTCCTGTTAAAATTATCAAAAAAACATCAAATCTGTTATTAGCCCTTATTATTACCGTGAAGCAGCTTCTGATTGGATTTCATCCTTAAGTTTCCTTAATTTTTCACCTGCCACCACTTACAGTGAATATAAATAACCTGAATTAAAGCTGTGCCGTCCATCCAGGATCTACTTTGGAGAGATAACACATTCTAGCTGAAAATAATGGAACTGTTGTGACTGTATACTTACCCAAACTGTGCCTGAGAGTTCCTATCAAAAACAATGTGATAAACACTAACCTGTCCCCACTGCCGTCCCCCACATTGATTTATCTCCAGCTAACAGCCAGGATGAAGCCTCCACCCACGGGTCAGTTTACCTTTCTTGGAGAAAAACTCTCGGCAGAACTTCCCAGCGGCTACCAGTTTGCGCGGGACCTTCCCAAGGAGCTCCATGATCAGAGCGATGTGGTCTGTCCCCACCATCACATACGTCACAGAAGGGAACAGGCACGGTTCAGCGTGACGGCATGCACACACATCAACACACACGCCGTCGGCTGCTTGGCGCCGACACACACTGCCGCCTTGAGGTACTTCCTGGACACGTTTGGAAACCCAACACTGACTGTTCCCGCTGTTAATCAATGAGCCTAATTGATCCCAGATTGTCTATTTGTGTCCGTTTCTGTCCCTCTTTGACATCCGTGTGTCTCAGCGCCACTCAGCTTTCAGGCCATCGCTACCTCTTCTGTTGAAGAACTCCCGAGAATACTTTCCAGAGAGCGCAAAGTGCCTCGGAATACAGCCCAGCAGCTCTATGATGTGGGCTATGTGGTCTATTGGAGAGGGGGAGGGGAAGCAGGGGGGGAAGAAGTAGAGGAAAAGACAGAGAGACAGAAAAACCCAACAAAAAGAAACAAGAATAAAGGTGGTTTGGTGGGTGAGAAAGTAAGAACAGACAGAGGGACAAAAAGAGAGGGAGGAGGTAAAAGGAAAAAAAACAATCAGAGATTATGAAGATAGAAAAAACACATGTTAATAAGCTCTGCCTCCACAGGATGAAGAAGGACATGAGATGAACAAAAGCAGCAGGTCCTGAAATAATGAACTGCTAATGTGGATTTAGAGGTGGGGGATCAAAAGTTACCAATGCTTAAAAAAAGAAAAATGGATAGTAGGCGACTAAGTAACACATGTAGGGAGGGAAAAACAACAATCAAAGAGTCGGAGGGGTGAGGTGAGGATGAAGCTGCAGACTGGAAGAAATGTGTCAGCTCTACAGCAGGATGCTGCCTGCATGCAGATAGAAAGATACAGCGACCTGGATGAAGATGCACATGTGCTCACTGGATCGCTGACTAATGTGGTTCTTAGGGGTGCTTCATAATCTGTGGGGCTTTATGTTGTAGCAACAAAAGGCTAAGAATGTGAGCGGTGGGGGGAAGATGGGTGGAGGCACAGCTGCAGAGTTCAAGGTAAGGATTTAAAGTTAAAGACAGTGGATAGTGGGATTTAGAGAAAGGGACGGCTACACTAAACACTATAGACATGTATTCATTCACAATAAAATGCATTCAAAATTTGGAGCTAAAAATGTCTCCATTGCTTGGAACAAAACCCAACTGATATCAAGAGGTTAATGAAAACAAGCAAATTATATATAAAAGAATGAAATTCACTTAGTTTCTATCCTGATTTTATCTATCAAAATTATTTAATTTTGAGTATAAACTCTTATCCAAACAATGGAGAAACATTCTTAGGTCCATTCATAGAATCTAAGACACTTTGCTCGCCTTACGGATGTACAGTGCTGGTGGAAAGTTATAGATTCATTCATCGGTTTGAATGTTTTAAGTTTGGGGCCTTTTAATGCTGCTTTAAACTTTTCTAAAACTGAAAGTTTGGTTTCATTGTTTTTATTTTATTCAAACGGAGCCAAGACTACACACACAGGTCCAAGTATAAACCCAAGCCCACCTTCATAGCTGCTAAATGTAACTTAGAGCAGGGATTCTAACTAACATGCATTTCATTGCATAGCCGCGTCACCTTTTTTAAGACGGTTGGTCATTTAAACTCTATGGTTTCCTGTAAATTAACCTGCCTTTAAGCCAAATCCACAATATTTTAACTGAACTGAAAGCAGAGTTAGATGGGACCATAATGGAGGCCCACATCCATCTGGTAGTTTGGGATTAGCTTATTATGACCAAAGATTCGATCTGCTGATTCAGTTCGTCCTCCTGCAGCTGGAACCACCAAAGCCAGGGGCCCTGACCCAGAACCTCATGAAGAAGTTGCACAGAGGCTCCTTATACTTTACCCCAGTATGTTAATTAAAGTTTGGCAAATGAAAGTAAATAAAAAAAATTAAAAAAATGCATCTTTTTCTCCGTTTTGGTGCTGAGTAACAGACAGGGAGCCCAACCAGAACGGATTACTGCACTGGCAACAATGCCTCGCTCCCATATACGAAGTCTACAAACTGTAAACAATTACATGTTTAAAACAGATGCAGTGGGGACAAAGTCCTCAAACACCCACCGCCTAAACCCAACTAAATGGATTTTTGTTGTTAAAAGTCTAGTCTTAGACAGTAAACCAGAAAACTCTACAGGTTTGATCTGAGTGGTGAAATTATCATCGTGACTAGAATGGCGGTGGTCCAGGTGCATTTTGCTAAAGGACATGTTATCAAATATCTGTAGGCCAGAATGTTTTATAATTGAACCTGTAGATGTAATTTTAAAAACAATGAAATCAAACTTTAAACCCTGCTGTTCTATTGCTGTTTGTAGGATCATGATCATTGCCAAAAAAAAGACTTCGATTTAACGCATCCTCAAAGCCCCAAATTTAATAAAACATTAATTCCGACAATAAATGTATGTAAAACTCTGAAATACTCTATGATACACTATATTGCCAAAAGTATTTGCTCACCTGCCTTGACTCACATATGAGCTTAAGTGACATCCCGTTCCTAATCCATAGGGTTCAATATGACGTCGGTCCACCCTTTGCAGCTAGAACAGCTTCAACTCTTCTGGGAAGGCTGTCCACAAGGTTTAGGAGTGTGTTTATGGGAATTTTTGACCATTCTTCCAGAAGCGCATTTGTGAGGTCGCACACTGATGTTGGACGAGAAGGCCTGGCTCTCAGTCTCCGCTCTAATTCATCCCAAAGGTGTTCTATCGGGTTGAGGTCAGGACTCTGTGCAGGCCAGTCAAGTTCATCCACACCAGACTCTGTCATCCATGTCTTTATGGACCTTGCTTTGTGCACTGGTGCACAGTCATGTTGGAAGAGGAAGGGGCCAGCTCCAAACTGTTCCCACAAAGTTGGGAGCATGGAATTGTCCAAAATGTCTTGGTATGCTGAAGCATTCAGAGTTCCTTTCACTGGAACTAAGGGGCCAAGCCCAGCTCCTGAAAAACAACCCCACACCATAATCCCCCCTCCACCAAACTTTACACTTGGCACAATGCAGTCAGACAAGTACCGTTCTCCTGGCAACCGCCAAACCCAGACCCGTCCATCAGATTGCCAGATGGAGAAGCGCGATTCGTCACTCCAGAGAACGCGTCTCCACTGCTCTAGAGTCCAGTGGCGGCGTGCTTTACACCACCGCATCCGACGCTTTGCATTGCACTTGGTGATGTATGGCTTGGATGCAGCTGCTCGACCATGGAAACCCATTCCATGAAGCTCTCTGCGCACTGTTCTTGAGCTAATCTGAAGGCCACATGAAGTTTGGAGGTCTGTAGACTCTGCAGAAAGTTGGCGACCTCTTCGCACTATGCGCTTCAGCATCCGCTGACCCCGCTCCGTCAGTTTACGTGGCCTACCACTTCGTGGCTGAGTTGCTGTCGTTCCCAAACACTTCCATTTTCTTATAATACAGCTGACAGTTGACTGTGGAATATTTAGGAGCGAGGAAATTTCACGACTGGATTTGTTGCACATCCTATCACAGTTCCACGCTGGAATTCACTGAGCTCCTGAGAGCGACCCATTCTTTCACAAATGTTTGTAAAAACAGTCTGCATGCCTAGGTGCTTGAATTTATACACCTGTGGCCATGGAAGTGATTGGAACACCTGATTCCAATAATTTGGATGGGTGAGCAAATACTTTTGGCAATATAGTGTATCTCTGTTTCAATAAATAACTCAAGAAAGCAACAGATTTTAACATTATGGAAGAGCTAAATTAAAAGTCCTTTTTTAAATGTTTAATCGAAATACTCACCCTCATCACGGGAGTAGTCCTCTCCAGAGTGAGGCTCAAACAGATAATCTCCTGTGGCCAGTTCGAATGCCTGACAAAGGAGCAGTTTTATATAAACAACAGAGACTTATGATATTTCTGTGTTTTAGATTCTGTTCTCCTCACCATGCAGGCTGTGCTCCAGATGTCAGCTGGGGTACCGTACCCGGCTCCTATCAAGACCTCAATGGAGCGGTACTGTCTCGTCTGGATGTCTTCTGTAAAGTGCTTATGCTGTTCGGAAGAGAGAAACAGAAACATTTGGCTCAATATCAGTTTGAAGGAACAGAACAAAAATGAATAGCCTCTGGAGGGTTATTATTGTACACTGGAGCGTGTTTACCGTTTCTGTTTTAAAACAACTGCTTTCTGTGTTTTTGCATTATTTCTGCTTGTTAGCTTATGTTAGATCAACGATTTCTCAGAATCAGATGCTGCTGTGTTATAGCTGCTGGATCGCATCTCTGTGAGAACAAGGAGCCCAGCCGCCTTTACTTAATGATTTCTGCTGCTTGGAAAAAAAAGTCTTAAAAAAAAAAAACACATTGAGCAAACAGCACAACTGGAACACTGTCTCCGCTTTTCTCCCTTGCCTCCAATAAAAGTCAACCTAACAGGCATGTGTTGGATACTAATGCTCATATCTTAAGAAGGCCTGTTTTACACTTGTTTTTACACAGTTACAGCGTTGAATATGTTTTTTATTACGTCTATCAATTTCTGTTTTACTGTTTTACTTTCTGTCTTTGGATTTATGGTTTTCTTTGCAAAACAGCTCAGTTTCAGTCAGATTCATATTCTTGCTACAGTTTCCTATTGACTTGGTCGTTTAAATCATAAGTATACTTTAATTCTTTCACTGTAGCACCAGCTGCAACTGTCTACAGTACAGGATTTCCCAAAATGTAGCTCTATCTGTCTTCCCATCAACTCTGAGCAGCCAAGGAAAAGCATTCCTACAGCATGATGCTGCCATCACCATATTTAGCACCTCCTTTCACCTAATTACTATTTTATCCTTTTCATGTTGTGAAAAATAGCAGTCAGTTTTCAGTTGTTTTATGCTAATTCCATTTCTTTTAGATGGCAGACTAAACAGAGAGTTGACTTATGCTTTGGGCTGTATACAGTAAAAAACTTTCTGTAAGTGAGTAAAATTTTTTTACAGTGGGTGAATTTATCCTTAATTTGAGAAGGAAAATAGGATGATCAGCTAAAGAATTGGGAATTCTTACGTTTAAAAAAAGATAATTAGATTTTGCACACTTGAAATAAGAGACTGCAGTTACATTTTCTTATTTTAAATATAGATTGTCTTTTTTCATTTGCAAGTGTCTTTTTACCCTGTTCCATGTCAGAAAAAAAAAATCACTTATTTCTAGAAAAAATTATTTACTTAAATTGAAATGATTTGCAACGTATCGAAGAACGGCTCTGCTTCTGCTAAGATTAAATGACACATCAGTTGACTTTTGAAGGGCTGTCACAGCAAAAGGGGCTGCACTAAAAATGCCCCCCACACTTTACAGATGTTCATCTTTCTACTTCACAAATGGGAAACATTGTTGTGCTGATCTATTACATAAATTCCTAATAAAATACAATAAATGATATGGTGCAAAAGTAACACAGTGTGGGAAAAAATTTTGAGGTGGTTTAAATACAACCCTTCTACAGTGAAGTATAGTCATAGTCAGTGATTATTACTATTTCTAAAAAAAAAAATATGCAGAGAAATACTGCAATAAAAAAGGGAAACAAGTAAGCGGGAGATGTGCTGCAAACACATAAATGACGCTAACACACAAAACACGTGCAAAGGAAAAATTCTACAGGTTAATAAACATTTGCAAGTTAAGAAAAGCTGCAAGCTAACCTTGCATAACAGAAGCACTCCAGACCTCTAGGGGGAGTCGATCCTCAACTCATATAAGAACAGACCATGGAGATCAATACTCATTAACACACCCGGACTGGCCATAGGGAGAATCGGGAATATTCACGAACTGCCGGCCTGGGATTGGCCTGCTGGCACTTCCTTTAAGCAATGATAGTTTCACTATTTGCAGCACCATCATTGGCAGGCGTTTTCAGGGTTCCTGCAGGTCCTTAAAAAGCCTTAAAAGGCATTGAATTCTTTAAAATAAAATTAAGGCCTTAATTGGTATTAAAATGTCTTAAATCAGTCTTTTGTAAGTCTTAATTTTTAAAACATCATAAATAGGATTATTTTTATTACGATTTTTGTAATCTAAATAAAACGTTAAAATTTACAATTTTTTTTTCTTCTTTTTATTAAAAAAAAAAATGGCTCGCCATTATTGGTTCCGTCCCGATAGCGGAACCAATAAAAGCGTTGTTGCGGCCGGGACATTTGGGAGATGCGACATTTACTTTTTGTCTGGAAAATATGAGCAAGTGTAAATGTAATGAAAATTGTCTATCCAGCCAAGAGTTTTCTCCATGGCTAAAACCAGTACCAGGGAACATGCATGAGGCACAGTGGATTTTGTGCAAGAAGTCATTCAAGCTCAGAACGATGGGAATTAAGGCAGCGGAGTCACACATGCGAAGCGCGAAATATAAAGCGTCAAAATCGAGTTACCGAGAAACAGCCGGTATTTCTCAGATTTGTTCCATCCTTGTCTCTGCAACGCCTCCACTTATCACCAAATCAAACATACTAAGAAAACGATACAAAGAAAAATAGCTGCAAAAAAGACTTAGCACTGGTTATGTTGTGGCTTTAAAACTGATTTGTTTTGTTCCCTGCTAAAACAAAGTTTGTGAATTCGATTAAATATTTTTTTTAATATATCTGTCATTTGTGTGTTTTTAGCTTTCTTCCTGTATGGGAAGCTTTTCAAAATTTGAAACATTAGTGCAGTGGTTTATGTTAAAATAAACCTTTGGGTTAAGTTGTCTCAAGCGGGTTTTTCTTGTGTTTCTTGTGAATTTGGTCTTAAATTTTTATTTCAAGTGGCATAAAAAGGTCTTAAAATTTAACTTGCCTTATGCTGTAGGAACCCTGGTTTTGTATGTTAGCTCATTTGTGTTTACAGCACGTTTATGTGTTTGCCACAAGTTTACACTTTGCTTCTCTATATTTTCTGTGACTTTGAGTTTCTCTTTTGCAGCATTTTTACTTAAAAATAATGTATGTATTAATTCTGAGTTCACTGGTCTCATTTTTGTGTTTGCAGTAGTTTATTCATTTGCAGCACGTTTGCACTTCTCAGATGTTTCTTCTTACCACCCAGCAGGCGTTTCCAAGGTCAGCGATTTTCACTCTGATGGAGTCGGCGTTGCGGGGGTCCAGTGGGTTGATCAGGAGGTCTGCCGCTCTGGCCCTGGCTGGGTGTGGACAGAGCGTGACAGTTAGCACACAAACCTGATGAAGAGGTTTAAAACATGCCTTCAAAAAAAACATTTTTTTTTTGCACCTGCATCACCCTAAATGAGAGAAAAAATGTCTTTTATTGCATATAATAATTTGGCAAAAAGTACTATCATAGATTTATTTCTACAAACTGCAATGTTTTAACCTCAAATGTCCTCATAAAAACAATGCAAATGAAGTATGTAAAATCAGTTACATTGGTTCAGGAAAAAAAATCCAATCAAAATAACACTGGTCTTAATTTTTACTTTTGCCATTTTTTACTTGAAAAAAATGGAAAATAGAAACTCACCTAAACCAGCCCATACTTAAAGCCAGAGTAATAATCAGAAGTTTTAAAGCAACTGGGACAACAAAACTGTGCTAGAACCCAGGTTTTTCCTGCCATAACATGCAGTGAGGCTGATAATAATCCCCCAAATCATTTAGCAAAAGATTATGCTAATAAAACTAATGTTGTCTAATACTTTTTCACGAGGGCTGTCGATAAATGCAGAGAGTAACAAAGAGCAGAGCTTAAACACCCAGAGACATCTTACACCCACCAGCTGCTTCAGTTCAAAGCAGTGATAGTAAAATGTCAAGTGTATGTGGTTGAGGAATGCAGAGTCATTATCAGAAAAACATAAAGGGAAGAATTTGGGTGGAAATGTTTAAATCAGACCCAAACTGTTTTCAAAGAACTGACATGCAGTGATTAAACCTGTTTTATATATATTTATACATGGTATAATATTTCAATATGATATTTGCGCTGGTTTCTTTGCAGGTAAATGCAGAGTCATAATGTGTCATAAGTGGCGTGTGATTCTAATCAGTTTGCAGCTACGTCAGAATGTGGACATCTGTGTTCAATCTCAGCTAAAAGCTCTTAACTCTAGGGGTCAAACAATCATTTCAACTATTTATATTAACCACAAAACAGGCTTAAATTGGAGGCAAAGGGATTTTTTTTGAGTTTTTATGAAAATGTTTTAACACACATGGATCTGTCAATTTTTGCAGATCATACTAAACCCTGAGTGAAAGTGTGGTTGCCTTCATTTTAAGCCTGTTATTTTGTTGCCATGACCCAAATGACTGAGAATGGACATATGCACTATGTTTTTTTCACACTTTCTCACAGAATAACAGCAAGCTTTTATTAGTACATGTATCCGACACACCAGCGTAAATTAGTGTACAGAACCATGCTAGTGTAGAGTAGATTTTCAGTCATCCAGGTCATAGTCATTCCAAAAAAGCTGAAAACAAAACAATCCACTGGACTTTTTTTCCGAGTTTGAAGATGTTTCGCTTCCCATCCAGGAAGCTTTTTCAATTCATATGTCAGAAATAGCATTGAGGTGCTTTATGTAGCCCAACAAAGCCTTGTTTTTGCTTAGACAACATGGTGATTGAAAAGGACGAATGGGTCCTCCCCTTTTGGAATGGGGGTCGTTTGGCTTCTTTTGTCAGCCTGAAATGCCCCATACCTGTCTATGTATGTTTGTTTCAATTTGCATGTTGTCTAAGCAGAAACAAGACTTTTTTTCGGCTACTGTATAAGCAAATCAATGCTATTTCTGAAATTTGAATTAAAAAAGCTTCTTGGATGGGAAGCGAAACGTCAACAAACTTGGAAACAAAGTCCAGTTGTTTGTTTTTTAACTTTTTTTGAATGCACAGAAATGGTACAGAAATAATTCTGTTCAGATGCTGTTTTTTTTCTTAAAGGTTTTCCTGTTCTTCTTTGTAAAAGAGCTCAAGCCAAGTCAGATAGCGTCTATATAAAAAGCTAATTTCAACGTTTGTGCAAATGTGTGATTAGGATGAGGGCTAGCCTGCGTCAGTATTATCTAGTTGTAAAACATCCACTGGACTTGGTTTTCAAGATTTGAAGACGTTTCGCCACCTCTCCAGGAAGCTTTCTCAATTCAAATCATTGAATTGAGAAAGCTTCTTGGAGAGGTGGCGAAACGTCTTCAAATCTTGAAAACCAAGTCCAGTGGATATGTTTTGAATTTTTACGGAATGACTATGACCTGGATGACTGAGAACCTTCATCAGCATAGTTGTAAAACATTGTACTTGTGTTCGTTCATTTTACTGTCAACGTCCATTGGAAGGTCAGCCTCAGTCCAAGTCCTTTTCATCTGCAGCTTTTATCTTAAAATTTTATTCCACAGCTTCCCTGTCCCGATGATAAATAACCCTACCACAGTATGATGCTGTCACTACCATGTCTTACCATGCAGATCGTGTTTACAGGCTGATCTGATTTCCTACACCTTTTTCCACACATTTTCTTTTTCCCTTCATAGCTTGTGGAGAACCATGTTTTCTATCGACATTGGCTTTGTTATGGCAATTTTTGATAAAGCAAAAAATTGTAGAGAGTGTGACAATAAGATGAATAACCTTAACTGAACTGTAAAAGCCGAAAAACTTTCTGTTTTTGACGGTTTTAGCAAATCTTTCTTTGGCATCCAAAAACCAAGAACTGGATATATGGATGCTGCAGATTGTTCCCTTTTATTATGCCTGGAAATTTGTGTTGGGATGTTACACAAAATCCTAATTAAGTTTGTCGTTTAAATGTAAAAAAAAAAAAAAATCGAAAAAAGAAAAAGTTGAAAGCATAAATGGATAAAAAAACTGAAGAAAAGATATTTGCCACACCTGAATATACTCAACCCAGCTCTACTCAACCTTATTTATAATGGCCTTTAAAACAACCATATATCAAGGAAAGATAAAACTGTCCAAAGACAACATGAAAGTACAAAAAAAAAATAAAAAAATATCAAATAGAACATATTGTCCTTTTCTGCCATAAAAAAAGCATCTGAACAAAATCTATTTATTGGAGATAAGCAGCTGAAAAGCTTGGAGCAGTTCTCTACTGGAGCAGTTCTTTTAACTAAATACATAAATCAGCAAAAAAGATGCTTTATTCTCTGCAGAGATCTAAGGAAAGATGCACACAGCAGGATTTTGATGCTCTGATAGGAGTCACTGTGGGGAAACCCCAAACTTAGAGTGCATCGCTTCTCACTGAGCCCCGTTCAGCACTAACTTACCTTTTGGTGTGTCTCCAGTGCTTGACGATGACACAGTGCGACTTCGGTCTGCTGTAGGGCTGTTTGCTAAGGGTTCTGTCCCAATGTCTACTGTCCCCCCTGAAATTGGGTTCCCCGGCTCGGGATCCAGAGGCAGCTCGGGGAAGAGGGGCATCTTGGATCGATGTTGCTCGCTGGAGCCGTTGGTCAGCACCGGCTCGGCCACTTCGCCGTTATACATCTCATACCCGGAGCTGAGCGAGATGTCTCTGTCCGTGTAGCTGAGCTCGGACTCCACCAGGGGGCAGAGTAGAGGCTCAGGGGTGGGTGAGGGAGGGGGCGTCTTGCCGGGGTTTTGTCTTAGTGAATCAGAAACTAACAAAACGTGCCCGTTAGTTTTAGCTGTATTCGTTTTGCTGATCTGGGGCTTAATGGGAGAGGTGCTGTCAGTTAGGAGGTCTGCTGTGGTCGTAGTCGTATCATCGTCGTCTTCATCGTCATAGATCTCCTCGTATTCCCCCCCCTCCCCTTCCTTTGAGTCATCTTCTTTCTCAGCTGCCTCCTCCTCTGTTTTGCTCTCAGTCTTTGGTGCCTCTGTTCCAGTGTCTCCATCCTCCTCCTGCTTCTCCTCTCCTGCTTCCTTATTTTCTTCTTCCACAACCTTTTCCTCCACCTCTTCCTCTTCCTTCACGTTCTCATTCACCGTTTCTTTTAAAGACTCCTCCTCCTCCTCCTCTTCCTTCTCCTTCTCCTCGTCTTTCTCCCTGTCTGCTGGCTCTGAATCTCCATTACCTTCTTCCAAGGTGGGAGGAAATGGGGCATCTTTTTCTGCGACAGGCGTGGGCTCCTCTTCCTCTTCTTCCTCTCCCTCCTCTTGCTGGTTAGTAGCCGGGATTTCTGGCACTTCATTTTGCTCCTGGGGAGGTGCTGCACCTAACATGTAGAGAAAAGAAGTAAGTGGGTGGAAAGGGGATAAACAGTGAGTCCAGGCAAAGATAAGGTGGGCAGAGGGATGGAACGGCAAAATAAAGAGAGAATAGAGATGAAAGAGACAGGGGGGTGGAGGAGGAGCAGGCAGACGGAGAAAACGTTTGTTTCTATCAATCAGCCTGGCCCCTCATATGCTGTAGAAGTAGTGTGGGCTAAATGCTTGGAGCCAGTCCACATCCTTCCCATTCACAGGCTGCACAAACCTGCATCTGCAAGCTGGCTAACTGAATCACAATTTGAATTAGTTTAGAGGATAGAAATTTTATTTTAAAGCCCTTTAAAAACTGTCTTTAGCTCTGATTAGCTTATTTTTATTACCTGAGATGGGTTCAACTATTTCTCTAAAGAAAAACCTTATATTTTTATCTCTTTATACGACCAGTTCAGGATATTTTTTTTTAATCACTAGCCTACTCTCATTGCAATGGCTCTGAAATACAGATAAGAAATGTTTCATGTTTTTGGGGTCTGATTGTTTTAGCCTGTTTTATTAATTCTTATCTAGTTTTAAATGGTTGTTTGAGGTTACTGCTTGGAAAACCCATTTACAGTAGGTTAAAGCTTCAACCATCTGGCTGTTAGTGCAAGTGCAAACCATATTACTGGTTAATCTATCCGCCAAACTCCTATATTACATACACACAACTCCTATTATATACACTGTACTTAATCTGTATTATTTTTTGTATTTGCATTTTTTATATTTGTATGTGTATTATAATTTTTTATTTGCTTAGTTTTAACTTAATACTTTTTTGCCCTGTAAGCTGCTGGTAACCTTAATTTCCGGAGGGAGTCTTCCCAAGAGATCAATAAAGTACTGTCTAAGTCTAAGTCTGTTCATTCAAATTTGGTGGTAGTTCGCTTCTTTGTTCTGTCTAACTGCATGATGCTGCTTCCACCATGCTTGATCACCACAGACCCATTGTTCATAAACATTTCTTCAAAAATGTTTCCTGCTGCTTACAATCAATAGAGCTAGAAGACCATAAATTCAACACCCTTCTTAAAATGTATGCTCTCATGACATGTAGATGTAAATATCTGAATATTACTGAGTATATCACTAGGAAAATGATCTTAAACATATATCTGCCCTGGGTTAAGGATCCCTGACCTCTTCTACATGAACCTCGTTTGGATGGAGCTTATAACCAAAGTGCTGCTCACTTCTAACACAACATCTAACTAAAACGGAATGGAAAATGTGTTTTTTCTACAACTTTGCAATTTTTTTTTTTATCCAAATATAAGTGAGGATTTATGCAGGCTTTGCAGCTTGGATGTATGACTGTGACCATGTGAGGAAAGACAAAATCCACACAAAGAAAATCCAACCTGCGCTCCTAAACGATGAACAGTTTTAGATCTAAATAGTCACAAATGTCTGTCCAATAAGGACTCACATGTATGATTAGTCAACCTGACGGGCCTCTCCCTTTCTCCCCTTTCCTCCTCCTCTTCATCCTCCCCATCCTCGTCATCGTCGTCATCATCGTCGCTCTCTCCCAGAGCCATGCTGGGGCCCACGGACGCCGGCGGTGGCTTCAGCGTCGAAGCCAGGCTCTGCTCAGAGTCGCCTTCATCCCCGCCTTCTTTGGCCCTCTCCTCCCTTATCTCAGCCTCTCGCTCCAGGGCTTCGATCTCCAACATCCGTCTTTCCAGCAGCTCAGCTTGCCGCTTCTGTTTCTTCTTCAGCTTCTTTTTCTTGTTTTTGGAGATTTTTTCCACCTGGAGGTAAAAGGAGACAAAGTACAGAAAGATCGGAATAAGAGACCAAAATGGAAAAAAAAAACACTTGAACATAAACACAGAAATATTAATAGTGAAGAACTCAGTTCACTCAGTCCGAACTTTGAATGACAAAAGCTGAGACAACAATCTTTATTGGACATCCCAGAGTTGAACATTTAACACATAACTATTGTTATTTAATGTACCAAACTAATTTAATATCAAATCCAATTAAGTTAACACAAATAATTTCAACTTATTTTGGGCTAACACTGCCCTTTATACACTTCCAAGGTTTTCTGTGTTGCTGATATATGGACAGAGAATATATAAAAAAAAAAAAAAACTTTTAGCCTAATCAAGATTGTTCTCTTTTGACAAATCTAAATATGATTCTCATTCAGTAGGTGGCAGCATGCATCCTTTTTCATCACTTCTCCTGTTTTAAACTTTATTCTACTCCAACAGTGTTTCATCTTCCGCTCTAAAGCCTGTAAGAGGCTGAATGTTTTTCTCCTAAAATTTTAATGTATTGTATGTGGGAGTGTGTGTGGGGCGATGGGAGTGGGGAGTCTTGTTTTACCTACAATGTGGGGGAAGTATTTTGTAAAATATCCTACATGCGAGGACTTACAGGTACGGTACATATGGGGACATTTAACTGGTCCCTATATGGTAAAGTTCTGTTCTTTGAGCTGGGGTTAGGTTTATGACTAAGGTGTGAATGCAGTTTAGGCTAGGATTAGGTACATGTTGGTAATAGTTAGGGTTAGGGTCTGGCTTAGGCCATATAAAATGAATGCAAGTCAATGAAATGTCCCCATATGTCATGAAAACAAAGCTGTGTGTGTGGGGGTTGTGTCAGTGTGTGTGTGTTTTCTTCTCAGTTCATACTCACATCAGATGTACTCACCGGTTTGAGCTGAGGCGCTGTGCTAACTGAAAGATACGGACAAAAAGACAATGATGAGTGGCTTCAGAGTGGGATCATTTATCAACCAGGATCTTTAGGTACAGCACTGATCCCTGAAAAGAAAAACACCAAGAACTAAAATGATCTATACTGAGATTTTATGTGATGGACCAACACCAAGTAGAGTCGAGACCCCAGCAGCTTTTCCTTCCTATTCATATCTTTTCTTGTTTTTGTTTTTTTATCTGGCCAATCAGCTCTGACCATCTGTACTTGCTGGTGAAAGGCAACCCCTCAGCATGATGCTGCCACTGCGACATTTTCATGTTCAGCCTAATTTAAAGAGGTAATTCAGCCTCATCTGACTGGAGAGCTTTCCTCCTTATTTTCTCCTAACACAGCTTAATGCAAACTGCAATCAAGACTTCTCATTTGCCACTATTTCATAAAGTCTATACTTGTAAAGTAAACAACTAAGCTGTGGATCTCTGCAGCTCCTCCAGAGTGACCATGAGTCTTTCAGCTGCCCTGATTATTGCCCCCTGGTGGGTTTTATAGGTACTAAATTAATTTGAGATTTGCTCATTTTAACACAGTTAAAGTATAATAAAAAATGTGATATTGTTTAAACTATTGTAGATGTTCAACCAAAGTATTGTTTATTTCTTCTGCTTATAAATTGTGCAGTACTGCACCAGTGTTGGTGTGGTGTATGAAATCCAAGGAAAAATCATTGATTTTTGTGGGCTTTGTCTAAAGTCTGGATTGAAAATATGACTAACAAAATAAGAAACATAACTTGCACACACCCAAAGTCTTCCTGCCTCCCTGCAGATCAATGAAACCCTTCAATTATTCACTGCAGCCTTAAGCACATTTGATACCGGTGGTCCTATACATTTGCAAACATGGAAAATAAAGTAAAGTGCACTCTCTCATTTTTTCTCTGAATAGCTCACCAATGTAAACACTGCATTAATTATTAATATTTCAGGAAAAATGTATTGTTTTTGGTATGATCTGCAGATCCTCATTAAGAATATCATACTGAACCTTTCAGATTTTTGAAGTATTCTCAAACATAAGCTCAACATTTTCAAACTTTTTTTTAGAGTTCTAAACCTTCAAACCTCCATTCAGTCAAAGAACCAGCAGAAGATGCTGTAAATACGACACATGGCTGCGTTTAAAAGCGTTAACTAGCTCTGCCTCTGAAGTCCCAGACAGACTCCGCCAGCACCGAGCATTCTCTGTTTCCAACCATGCTGGTTTTATTCCCTTTCAAATGTAGAAATGCAAGCCGCTCAAAAAAAGACTCAACTGATGGTGGCAACTGACAGCTCATGCTGGGGTTCAGCGAGAGGACAAGGTTCACAGACAGTTTTTGTAATATTTCTCTCCACTGGAGGAAGTTGCTGTAAGAAAAATGGAGGGAAAGCAGGAAAAGTGTCTTCATAGTAGAAAAAGGGATGCGGCTCAGAAAGCACAAAAGGCTCAGCTATGAATTAGGGATTTAACAATGGGGTTCAGGCTCTTTAAAATCGCTTTAAATGTTAATTTCAGATTAGCTATTTTTCTTCTCAAGTATTCAAGTTTCAGCAGATATCCTGCCTATTATTAAGAAGCTAGAAACATCTTTTTCAGCTTAAAAAAGCTGAATTATTTTTATTTGTCTCTTCATCAATAAACTAAACATGCAACACTTAAATTAAACACTGTAAATCATGAAAGATTCGACATATTGTATGATAATAACAAAGTCCTGAATGTGTTAGGTTCTCTGTTTTCTATTTCTTGGGCTAAAATAAAAGTTTTAATCTTTGCTAAAAAAAAAAAAAAGGTTAATCTTTCTCCAGCTAGAAAAATTTGTGCACTAAGGGGCAACAGAAAACTTGCATGGCCTCTGACCTTTGACACCCCTGCATTACACTATGTTTAAACACAACACACTGCACAGTTATGCTATTGCAGCTTCCCTGCATTTTTGCTGTCACTGTCATGGTGCCTGGTCCTGCATCTCTGAATTTCTGTCATTATTACTTTAAAAATAGAAGGAAGAGAATATCAGAAATAAATAAACAACAGAGAAAAGAAGAGAAACACATCCGAGTTATAAAGTTGTATGTATATAAATAGTGTTAAAATGTTTAATATCATTTTTTAATTGTAAGAATCACAGATTTTGCAGTTTTAAATCTATTACAAATGTCAGAAAACTGTTTTCTCTTCACTGTTTTACTCTTATGAGGCCAAAACTTTACAAGGAATAGAAGGTTGATAAGATTTTTTTTTTAATTTTACTATTTGCATGAAGCTTTCTTCTTTTATTATATTCCCACTGTCCACTATGTTTTTTGAGGGAATATGATACGAAAATCAGTGTCAGTATAAACGCTTACAGCTCTAGTTCAGGCTCGCTTGCCTTCAGCGGAGGGCCGGATGATCCCTGAAGGGCGACTCTAACCGCCTTTAGATTTATGAGACTTTTCTCCTTCAAAAGTTGATTTTTATCTTCACTAAGTGACATAAACTAAACCTGCCTATTTCCAGAACAAACAGCCCAGGATGAAAATGTTTGATTGGCTACCAGCTGATCCGGAGGGGGGTGGAGCTCCAGCTTTCTGCCATTCGGTCGCCTCCATGGCCATGCGCCTCACGAATACGTCATCTACACACATCAGGATGTTCTCAGGCTTGATGTCTGTGTGGATGATTTTACACTTTGCGTGGAGGTAGTCCAGACCCTGCAGGACCTACAGAATCATTCAGATAAACAGAGATGATAAACTTCACTATGGAGAAAATAGTAGCTATTCCATCGATGCCAAGATTGCTGACTTTTCATTTAGATTGAGCTTATCAAACAAAACTTGAAATTCTTGAAACCTTGTTTTCTTTAAATCGGCTTCTTTTTCAATGATAAAAAAAGAAAAAGAAAATAATGATTTCGATCTTAATAGAGGCTGAGACGGAGCCAGACTAAAATAGTTCACCGACTTCACATGCTAATCAGGTGGCTGATGGGAAAATGCCCCCCAGTCTAGAGTCTGAGGAGCAGCAGTGCTTGGATCTAAATTGAACTACTGTCTGCACCTAACTGAATTATCCACATTGTTCTGCTACCTTAAAACTGAGGACATGCAAACACGCTCTAATCAGGAGGTAATCAAAGATCTACACAGCCTATCATCAGGGACAAGCAGAAGGTTTTTAGAGATTCAATATCAGCAGAGTTTGCCTTTTTCTTAATTAACAACATCACAAACTTGGACTTCAAGCGGCCAAATGACTAAGATTGAGCTCATAAGCTACAAACACACCAGGTTGAATTATTGTTGAGGAAAAAAGGAATTCCAAAAAAAGTTAAAAACAATCCACTGGACTTTGTTTTCAAGTTTGAAGACATTTCGCTTCCCATCCAAGAAGCTTTTCCAATTCAAAATGTCAGAAATAGCCTCGAGTTTGAGGCTTTATAGAGTGGACCAAAAACGAAGCCTTGTTTCGGCTTAGAAAAAAGAAGCATGTACACTGCTGAGCAAGGCGGAGGGTCTGTGATGCCCTGGGCCTCTTTCAAAGACCTCTGGAAGAAAGTTAAAATGCATGGAAAAAACCAGGACACTTTAAATGATGCTATCCTTGGGATTTTAAACTAGTTAAACAAAAGATACAAAGTTTTATGTTGTCCAGGATGCGATAGAATTCCTTTGAATAGAGAATATATTTTAACCAAAGTGCAGCCAAGAAACAACATGTGAAATATTTCAGTTGATCCCACTGAAGCCTGTGAGGCAAAGACAACAAGAGCAAAGACTTCATCTAAAATAAAACTTTTTTTTTTATTATTATTATCATATTTCGTCGTTTTGGTTTAATACAAGATTGTTCTGTGAAACAAATTAGATGATAAATAATTATATCATCCATCCACACTAACTTGCTCTTTGCTCTAATCGACCTGACATAGATTTCTCACTAATGTCAACATGCTCAGTTACCTTGATTTTAACACAATAATCCTGCTATTAATGTCTCATAACATGATGTGCTGACAGATTGAATCTGTTTACTAGAGGAGAATATAATGTGTCAAACTGGGGCAGCTTGATGAATAATGGGGTCGCCATGTTAAAGCTGCTTCATCCATATTTAATAGAAACTACCACAGCAGTGTCTATAAGGACACAGTGTGTGTTTGTGTTTTCACCTGTCTGATAATGCTCTTGACACATGCCAGCGGGAGACCTTGGTAGTTGGATTTAATGATCCATTTCAGCAGGTGATGACCCAACACCTCAAACACCATACACACATCTGGTTTGACGAGTCAAGGGATTCCATTATCGTACCTCTGACGGGAACACACATGAAAACACAAACAGCCAAACGTCTAAAGAGGATACGTATGCCGTTGACTCCAGAGATCTTGAAGTCGTCGATCAGCTGCACAACCATGTCTTTGTTTGGGTCGCCAGGGTCGCTCTCTCTCACCTGGAGGCAAGGCGGATAAGGAAATATGTTAAAATAGAAGAGGAAGAGTAAAGAAGAGCGGGGCTAGGCGAAGTGGGATATTTCAATTAAACATATTAGTTAGAAGATATATCAAAAGAGTTAATTACTAAATGGATAAGCACTGCAGTTTGAGTATGCTGAGCACAATTTGACAAGAAGAAAAACTGAGATGCTCGAACAGAATGAGAAGGGTGAGGAAAAAAGGGAGGAGCTCTGGAGCTGAAAAATATTAAACACTTGGATTAACAGAAAGGGAAAACGGTCAGAAATGACAAGATGGTCAAAATAAAGAAATAAATAAACCAATCAGATTCTCACACATCGCAATAGTTTGATCTCATCCAGGGCCGTTTCTGTGTAGTGCTGGGCGCTCTTCACCACCTTCATCGCCACAAAGTTCTTCACTCTGAGATCAAACACAAACAAATTAACTGATTGATAGACTGGAGGAGGGAACAGGACTTTCTTCTTTTATGCTTAATCACATTTGTCTGAAAAGTTACGTCCTTTTGCATTTATATTCTCAGGGTATTTTTATTAAATATGTATATTCTCTCCCTAAAGCTCAAATAAAAGAGGATTACAAACCTTCAGAATAGCTATGATGATAATACAATGCTTTACTTTTTTTTTCTTAACATAAAGCATTCATATAAGAACAAAAGGACAAAAAATAATTTTTTGATGTCATGGTCATCTATGTTTGAAAGTTTTCATTTTATATATCTTTCTTTTTTAAACAATGATGTATTTTTTGCAAGTAAGATTTACTTTTATGATATTTCACCTCCTTTTTGTGAAGCATTTATTTAGGAAAATGCGCAGAGATAATGCAAAAAGAAAAAAGGCGATTTCCTCGCATGGACAGCACATTATTCATTTCTGTACTGTTAGTATCTCCATGCTGTAAAAGTTAGCAGAAAAATTGAGACCAGAAGAGAGGAATTAGCAAATGAACCATGCAAAAAAAAAATATATTTTTTTTTTTCAACAAAAAGACAAAACATTGATATAAAACCTGCTTGGCATATATTTATATTAGGAAACACATGGTCCTTTCTTCTCTTCTCAGAAACACAGCTATATAGCTGAGCTCACCAATATCAACTGTCTGTGCAGTTTTTTATCCTATTGAATTGAAAACGGGCTCAGAGCTCATCTACTTAGCTGCGTTTCTCTCCTATAGCCACTAAATCAGCTACTACTACCATTAACCCTTTATTTTTCTCTATATATAGATATAGATTACTCCTGGATAAATCCCTCTGCGCTCCTTTTATGTCAACACTCCATCTGCTCAAAGCTCTGTCCTTTGATGCGGAGGCCTTCACAAAACTTAGCCTAGTTGAGATGAAGTTTTCTTTTCTATTGTTAATGTTTGCTATATTCCCTTTCACCACAGACTAATCTGCAAAAGCCTGAATTGATTTAATCTGCTGGGTTTCCTTAGATAAAGAAAAAAAACTGATTTGTTTGTTTACTTAATGAAAAAACTGTTTATAGTTTCTAATTAATTTTTTTTAAGGATTTAAGATTTTGAGCTCAGAGCCGCTGAGACTCATTAATATATCAGTAAATGTTTGATGTATCCTGGAATTTAAAGCAATGTGATAAAAACGTCCTTTTCAAAACATCTTAAGAGAAGCCAGATTAAAAAATTGTAGTTTATGCCCAATTCAATTCACAAAAACCCAATTTTAAGTCTAAAATCTGATCCAAAATATATATTGATTCATTAAAAAAATAAGAACAGCAAAAACTAGACCAAATAATATGTATTCACAAAAAAGAATTTATTTGATTTGATTAAGAGTTTGAGACAGATCCAGGTTGTGCCCGCTATAAAGTTGCAACCTTACTCCATCCTTTAATCAACATTAGTGTAATTAACACCAGCGACCTGAGTAAGTGAGTTTGTGAGTGCGCACATCAGTCGGTGAGAGGTTTCTCTTGGCTTCTGATCCTGTCAGCCATCTGCCCTGGTTGCCACAGCAAACCAAGTTATAGTTCAAGTTCAGAGGTTCGGTTTCCAAGGTGGGATGGTGTTAGTTGCAGCTGTCGGCGAGGAAATGAGCAAGATGCTTTCAGTAGGTTCACGTGTGGTATGTGTTTGCGGTATATGTGACGTTTGTTTAAAAAGCAGGAACCTGCATGTGTGAACTTCTGCATTTTGAATTTCTGGGTCAGCACTGTGTTTGCAGAGGATGTGCATAAAGAAAAAGGAAGCTGATGTGTAGGTTATGCAACAGTCAAGGTGTTTGTGTGAGGGTGATGAGACTCACTGTATGTCCCAGCACAGCCATACTGTGGAGAAGTGGCCCCATCCTAACTTCCTGATCACATGGTACCTTCCGTTGAATAAATCCCCGATCTTTACCGGATGGTATCCTCCTGCGAGAATTAAAGCGAGGGGGGGAAGGTTACAGGGAGGTGTATCCGATACTGACACAATGGCAGAAAATGCATGAGCAAGTTAAGATTTTAACAGCACCAAAGGAGGAGGAGCGTATCCCTCATATGTAAAGGTTAGTGCATTTCCCCTAAAATTAAATGATCTTTAAACATAAATGGAAATAAACCACTAGAGGTTGCCTCTGATCAGATGATACAAAAAAGAGCTTTCTCTCCGTACAATATACAGCTCTACTTAATAAATAAAATGTTATTGAAAAAATAATTGAGTGAGGTTTTTATTACCAAAAGAGCCTTTAAATCCTTCATAGTGCACTCAGTGAAAAACTTTGAAAATCCAAATTTCAAGCCAATGTTGGAATCTAGGACAAGACCTTATTACTTTTGTAACATTCAAAAAATATGGATATTTTGATGGCAAACATGTATGTCGATGTAATAACAAGAAACGCCAACTAGACCGAATATATACAGAAAAATAACAAAAGTGCTTCTATTAGAAATTCATGAAAAACACTCAGAATGAAAGAAATACATTTTTTTTTGGTACAACATAACCTTAGAGGCATTAATGCTAATACTGGCACTTACATTTTTAAGTTTATAGACCTAAATATAATTGTTAACTAGGCTTATTAACTTTTTTACTTTATTTTATATATCATTCAAGGGCTCATCTAATTGGTCAAACGCCAGAATAAGATGTACAGCCATGTAGCAGTATCTTTGCTGAATATCTGGATTTTGATCTTGTGCTTCTAGACCTCACTGAGGGACGGGGGAGAATCCATTTGTAAGGGGTATGCAAGTGATCAAAAATGGTAACTTGCCCTATAAAGAATTAATCTAAGCATCATTGGGATGTATTTTCTAATTTGCAGAAAAAACGTTGCATAACATACATTTGCTCCATAAATGTAAGGTAATAATATTTACAATTGCATGCTGACGGTGTGCAGACGCTTTGTCTACATCAATAAACATCCTTCACCTCAGCATGCCAAGTGCTTAGCTTAGTGACACAGAAGCTAACCCTGATAATTGTTTTGACCATTTAGGGACTAATTATCGGTAAACAGAGGATCAAATGTTCAGTGTTTGATCGTCCAGTGATTAAATCACAGAGAAAAGTAACGTTCTCTGTCCTTGCACAGAAGCACAACCCGTTTAATCCAATACAAATATATTATATGCAACAGTGGCTCCTGAGAATCAACATCTGTGAACTTAAAATTCAATAATGGAGACGCAGCTGTCCCTATTTTCATCTTGGGCACACAGGAATCTTTGGCTCTTTAACCATTTTTAACTTTGTTTCCTGAAGTATGATCTCTTTTATCTCTTTCATTTATCTCTTTCAAATGTGGATAGAAATATGACTTTTGTGAGCTACGTCCAAGACCGAAAGTAAAAGGATAAGTTAAAATAAACTACAAATTTTGATTTTACAGCATTTCATCGTTTACAGAGTGATGAATAATGAAGAAAGTGGTATAAAGATGCAGTTTAAAGTAAGAAATGCCTTAGTTACTATGAACAACTGTTGATTCATTCTTGGCTGGAATCAAGAAACATTGAAACGTTTTTTAAAACCCAAAAAAAGCAACAGCGCAATAAATATCAGATGAGAGCTGAAAGCAGTAAAAAGTGCAGCAAGGACTCTGTAAAACAGATGTGGAGGAAGGAGGAAGGGCCCGGAGGGATGAATTCAGCACGTGCGCATCTGTAGCTCTGACCTTTACAGTAGTCTGCTGGGTCCTCCTGCTCCTCATCGTCAGAGCCCAAGATCTCTTCCTCTGGCTCAGGTTGTCCTGCCAGCTCAGGGGGAGGCGGAGGAGGTGGCGGGGGAGGGGGAGGGGTTGTAACCTGGGCTTTCTGCTGGGTTTCAGGCCTGTGAACACATCATTAAAATAAAACTTTAATAGGACCTTGTTTTTTTGGTATTCTAAGCAATGATCCACAAGCAGAACTGTAGTCTTAGCTATAAGAGCAGGTGGATTTTTCCCACTCAGATTTCAACTTTTTGAAGTTTCTTACTTGAAATACATCTTTAAAGCACACAGTGTTAGACTGCAGGAGTTTTGTAACGCAATGGAAAACAATCTGGGATTATATTGAGAAAGCATTTACCATGCTGAGATTAAGAAAGTTATATTTTTCATGTTAATAAACATATTTTTTATATCTTCAATTATTTGGCATTTTATATCGCCAAGGTATATAAAATGGTACAAAATATTTTCATGGGCATTGATATCAAATCTGGAGTTTTAGTATCTGGACAACTCCAGTACTAAATAGAATAAAATCTTAAACTGCATGGTAACCACTGTGTAAAATATTTATGATATAACATGGTATCCAGAGGAATGCAACAGAAATTCCTTTAACTTCTTCTAAAAGTTAGGTCAAGCAATCTAAGTGGTATAAAGGATACAGTGGTCTACATTAGCAATAGGACTAGTAAATGTGATTTTGATCAAATAAAAATAATCCTGCATATCCTGTTCATGAAAGACCAGGTTTATGGATTGTGACAGATGTAAATATCAGCTCAGGGTGTGCAGTATCACAGTCGTAGATCATGATGGGTTAGAGAATGTAATGAGTTGGCAATGTGGCCAGACTCTTTGATCGACAGTGATGCAAATTCTATGCATTGCAGTTCTATGTTTTAGATGTTGCCCGTCATACTGAAGAGTTTATGAAACCAGATGTGAGTATAGGCTAATCCAAGGTTTGACGTAAAGTTGGTCATGTGGACTAGAGTCAAAATCTACCAGTATAGTTAGTTAACAAAATCACCTTTTGATCACAATCAAACCGCAAAGAATAAGAAATCAGTTTTGTTGTTGAGATTGCATCGAAAGGCAGCAAAATGAAGATCTTTTGCAGATCACAATGACCCTGTAAAACTGGATTGTTTTTCAGTTTCTGTTGACACGTTGACACACACACACATGATTTGAAATGCAAAATATGGTGCTGTTATTTCTGTCAATATGACAACATAGACCAAGATTAGTTGAATCCTTCTTCCCTGGAAAGTTATTAAAGGAGGCCTGCGCTGCTGAAGTGCTTTGTTTTGTTGAACGCAGGGGTATTTAAACCACCAAATGTTACAAATCATTTTGTCCTCACTGTGTGAGAAGAGAAACTACTGAAGCCCCATGCCCCACCAGCTCTTGATAGCCAGAGGCGTAGCCAGAAAATGTTAATAAGGGTGGTCAGGCAATAACAAGTGTAAACTGAGGGGTGGCCGAAAGTGGATAACCAGAACCTCAGAGTCAATCTACGCTATTGCAACAGGAAAATTAACGGGCAAAACATCCATATTTTCTAAAGACAAACTATACTTTCCTACAACTTTTGCTAAAAAATAGACTCATATATATTTAAACATCCGTCTAGATAAAAGGTACAGTGGATAAACTTGTCTTTTATCTTTCACCTTTTATATTGTCAATACCTACTTTTATCAATAATCATTGAGCATAAAATTGATATTTAAAAGTACTAATATCTACATAAATTGATTATTTAATACATTTTTATTCAAGTAGTTATTTATAATTTCACTGAAGACTCCTAGATAATTTGCAACGATACATAATTTTCTCTTTACCCCATAAGACAAAATCTAGTTCTGAAAAGAGCATTAGATTGGATTAGATTAGATTAGATTAGATTAGATTCCACTTTATTGTCATTACACAGGTACAGGTACAAGGCAACAAAATGCAGTTTAGGTCTAACCAGAAGTGCAATAGCAGCAAGTGCAGGATAAATAATGGTTCCATAAATTCAGGACATGGTTTTCTACTGAATAAGTATAGAGATGAATACTACAGTATTATAAACAATGAATATAATATATGGATCACTAGTGATATGAACTAAATTTACAGCTGGATATACAGGTGGATATTACAATAAAAAAGTTTTTTTTACAGTTATGTACAATAGCATATATACAGATGGGTTTTACTATAAAATTAATAAATAAAGTTTGTAAAGAAGCTATATAAATTAAAGTGCAGTGGAAGGTAATTGCATATTAAGTACATTATTGCAGATGTAAATGTAAACAATTGGTACTGTGAATATAAGCAGTCGGCAGTGCAAATCAGTTAAATAATTCTATAATCATCATCTTTAATGTTAACATATTGATGTGTATATTCAACCTCAGTGTTTTTGTTGTCAAGTAACTGTAAATATATGAAAAATTTCAATTTTGAATATTCCACTTGAGAGTATTACTTCTGCCACCATCATATTTACACAATAATCCAATATTTCAATAATTTTTTTTGAGAAACTGAAAAATTGACATAAAACTGTAAAAAATTAAAAGAAATGCACTTTATATTGCTTTACTGTTTCAGGAAGTCAGTTGTTGAAATAAATAAGCAGTAGGGAGTTAAGATCAAAAATCATAAATCACGTGATTTAAATATTCAATTTCTAATATATTCCCAGCTTTATTTGTATATTTTTATAACATTAAATTGTATATTTTCTTGCGAAAGTTTTATATTAGCAGCTGGCTTTCAAAGTGACAATGAACTTCTTTACTTTAATTATAATATTTCAACATAATTAAAACATAATGTGGTCATTAGGATAGATTTGTAGAACTGCTACTCAGAATGATCCACAGCAATAAAGTAATAGTTTTAAGGCTACAATCATAAGAACAAGAGTAGTCTTACTTTGATCTTATAGTTAGAGGCCATGGATGTAATAACATGAACATTAAGCAAAATATTCTTAATTACACCTCTGGTATGAACAGGACAAAATACATTTTCCTGATAATGAGGTAGTACTTCAAAGTGTTCATTTAGTTGAAAATCGGTCCATATGTCAACTGAAAGTTCACACATTTTTAAACAGCTGCTCTTGCATACATTTGGTCATTTAACTATGAGAGTAAGCACAATACAATAAGTATTTGAAGTGGGGCTCATCAGTTGACCCAACATGAGCAACATACTCCAAACCTTTGCTCTAATTGGAAACTGCCCCAGAAATAGCCCAGTGACCGGATTCCGATGAGTTTTATACTTTGGATGGTAGCTAGAAACTATTTTTCTCAGCAGAAAGTCCTTTACATGCAAGCACTTTCTGATTGTGAATGTCTTTCGTTTCTTTGTGAATAAACCACAAACATATCTATTTTAACAATTAGTGAGGTGTTTAAAATGAAGTCATACATGAGACAGAGCAGCTAGATCGCATCAGAGCGTCGGGACACAGTGTGAGAACATACAGTATATCGGGAGCTGTGAACTTTTAAACCCAGCGGATTCGTCGTACATTGTGAGCTGTAGCTGCGTGCAACGATTGAAAAAAATCGCAGTGTATGCCCGGCTTAAGCAAGCATCAAACCATGTCAGTAGGTGCATTTGTAGTAGATATACAACAGAAAACAATAGCTAAAACCAATTCAGGTCAGAGACAACAAGAAATCAAAGCGAGAGGTTCAAGGTAGATACATTCAAAATGCAGAAAACATTTTCTTATTAAGGTATGATGACAACATCTTCACCTTACATTTGTCTCTATAAAGCAAACTTAGATAACATTAACTCTAATAAGAAGTCAAACACTCAGGGATTTCTGTGATAGTACGAAAAAACAAGACGTACAAAACAGCGGTTAGGGTAACCTCTCTTGTTTGTTGCCACGGCAACAGCAGAAAGGGAGGCTTGATGGATACGGGACCCAAAATGTTAATGCTTTGACAAACACACACACACACATTGTGACTTTACAACTCTATGAAACCACCACACATACTAAAACACACAGGCTATCAAGGTTCTCTGTCCTTGCAGCAGGACGCCACCTCTTTACCAAAGCAGTCACGTAGAATGTCATACATCTCATCCATAACCTCAGCGCTATAGTGAGATTCATCCTGCCATTAGCGCTACGAATACCTGCCCCTCATAAGATCCTGAAGCCAAGCTTAGCTATAAGAAGAATTAAAACAGTCTCAAAGAGAAGCAGAGGAGAGATGGTGACAAAAAGGGATGAAATTCCAACAGGGGAATGGTTTAAAAGGGCTACAGAAATAAAACAAGGCAGAAGAAGGTTGAGAAACACAGTGGCAAGTTTGAAAATGTATATCTGGATAATTACACGAAAACAGAAGCCAAAGATGCAGGTCTGAAGAGCGCAGAGAAAGTCCAAATACAGAAACCATGAGCAGACGCCACAAAAGACAATGTGACAGACCAAAGGAGAAAAGAGAAACACAGGCCACAAGAATATCGCAAGTTTGGAGAACACATGAACATGTCATCAGGTCCCAAACCACACATTGTTAAGTGACTAACAGTAGCAAATGACCCAACCTTTAATAGATGCAATGCAGCAATCATACAGAATATAAAGATGGCAAAAATCGATACGGACAAAAAAATTAATTGCATAGCTGCAAAGTGTAATGAAATAATAGATGGTGAACAGCAGAGTATATGTAAAAATAAATAGAGCTGGAGAATTAATGGCAATTCTAATGTATTTACTATTTAAAGATTGAATTTAAAGGTATAGAGGATAATCTTTTATTTCCAGGTGGATCATCTCATTAAGTGGTCCTCCTAATTGTCAATCATTCTGGTGAAATGTTTACGTAAGGCACATCCGTTACAGGATTTGCTGTCACGTCTGCCGAATGTCGCCATAGGCTGTCGCTACCTGACAGGGGCGACTAATAACAAAGATGGTGCAGGCACCGCGCTGTGGAGGAGGAGTTACATGACCAATGGGAAGCAAAAAGGAGTGATCATCTGTCCAAACGGTCAGTTAACTGAGTTTTCCATAAACTCCAATATATAGTCCCCGCTCTATATAGTGATTGAGGGGTTTAGGGGTTAG